CCAAACCATTTATCAGTTAAATATTTACAGGACACACTAAGTATCAAGTTCTAATATTTTGTGTTTATGCTAGAAATATATTGGCTGCTTTCCATAACTGGCCAGTGGTTGTCAAGCTTTGCCTAAAAATATTTTTATCCCTGGGAAAACCTTAGTTATAATTTCTATAGTCAGAAATTTAAAAACTGAAAGCTACACTTGCTTCTACCCCTCAAAAGGGGTATATCCAATGATATGCCCTTTGACCAAGAGATAAACTATGCTGGAAAGAGTCAAGTTTCTTTTGAGAATCAGACCAGCAGATTGTAGCATCAGTGTGACTAAAAACTCCAGATCAAGCTAAGTGTGTCCAAGAAAGCTGGTCCAGGACGGGTCTTGCTTTCTGATGCAGGAGTCCTCAAACTTGAGTATATCAGAATCATCCGAGGGTTTGTAAAAATACAGAGTGCTGAGCCCTGACCCCAGTGTTTCTATTCAGTAAATCTGTAGGGGAAGTGGGGGTGAGAATTTGCATTTCTAATGAGTTCCCCAGTAATGCTGATACTGCTGGTCTGAGGACCACATTGAAAACACTATTCTGGTCCTAGTGAGTTTGGCTTAGTGGATAGAGTGATGGCCTGTGAACTGAAGGGTCCCAGGTTCAATTTAGGTCAAGGTCACGTACCTCGGTTGCAGTCTCCTCTCCGGTTGGGGCCCTGGTTGAGGTTCGTGCAGGAGGTAACCAATCCATGTGTTTCTCTCACATAGATATTTCTCTTTGTCTTTCCCTCTCTCTTCTACTCCCTCTAAAAATCAATGTAAAAATATCCTCGGGTGAGGATTAAGAAAAGAAAAAGACTATTCTGGAGGGAAGAACCAATGGGCAGAAAGTATAAGATAGCTAGTTTTAGTTAAAAATCTGGAGAAATATTTTTTTAAAAAATCATTATTACTCTTTCACAATGGCCAGGCTCTTTCCATGACTAGAAATAAGCAGACATTGGTTGATGGCTCATGGGGGAATTGTAAAAATGATTGCTGCATAAGCAATCACGGGGCTAGGATTGATCTGAGGAGATTGAATGGTAGGGCACACGGAGGGGCACATAGAGTTTTGCCAGGACATAGCCAGCAGAAAGAGACAAATAGGCGTGGTATTACCTGGAAGAAAGTATTCAATTTCACAAGAATGAGAAATTAAAGCAGTTACTAAGGGGCGAATTTTAGACTGGAGCTGGGAATAACAGACCTGCATCATTCTAGAAAGGAATATGTGGCTTGTAACTGCAGGGTAGGTAGAAATGAAGTCCAATATAAGGAAGAAAGCAAGGCATTTCAGGATGATAATTCACAACTGCTGGGCTGCCATAAAGTGGCCCTATTGGTCACCGGTCAAACATTGCCATATTGGGAGGAAGGCTAGAAGATAGAATGGTGAAGAAAAATCACTAAACAGATCAGCGTTGTGCTGGAATTGCTTCTCAAATCTAGCAGATCATCGATCACCAGCGGAGATTTTAACGACTGACTCCAGATTTCAGAGCACCAGTGAGTTTAGAGTTTGTGGGAGGGAAACAGGAGTCTGATTCCATGGCACTTTTAGGATGGGAATACACTCATCTTGATTATCTCTATCAATATTAATGTTTGGCCACTGTCCCTAAAGTTGTTTAACAACAGGTGACTTGGGCCTTTGAGATATTAATCCTTAAGCAATTCCATCCAGTCCTCTTGATAGAAACAAATTTATTTTATAGAAAGGCCACTGAATGAACCGAAATGCTTCCACTTTTATCTTTCTTCTGCACTGAGCTATTATGCGATAATTTTCTTTCATTTTTATTAAAAATATTTTAAAAGACTTCTGCTTTTAAAATAAATGATTTGAAAGCAATTGGGTAGCAGTGAAAGGAGGGTCAGCCTTGGAAGACAAACAGACTGAGATTTGAATTCCAGTGCCACCACTTACCTCACAGCAACCTTGGGTGCGTTGCTTTGTCTTGCTGACTCTGGCTTTCCTTATCAGTTTATGATGGAAATGATGCAAGCCTTGGACGGAGGTAATTATGAGTTCTTTGAGGTCATTGTCGTCTTTCTAGTCCTTGGCTCTTAATAGTTGCTCACAAAACATTTGCTGAATGAATTAATAATGTCTATTATAGCGACTGCTTAGTAAAAGGGAGTTCATATTATAATTGCTGCCACGCTTATTATTATTATTACTAGAGGTCTGGTGCATGAATTCCTGCATGGGTGGGGTCCCTCGGGGTGGCCTGCGGGGATTGGGGCCCCAGCTCAGGCCCCCAGCCTCACAGCCTCGCAGCCCTGCCTGGCACCCCACCGTGGCCTGGCACCACCCCCTCATCTGCTCCACCATGCCGCCTGCAGGGTGAATGATCAGGCCGGTCCCCCACCCAGCTCCCTCAGTGCCTGGGAGCCGGGCAGCAGCCCCGCCCCTCACTGCAGCCACCACTGGTCATCATCTGCGGGGCGATAGGCAGGGCAATCGGGCTCCTGCTCGCACCGGCCTTGGCCATGCACCACCTGCTCACCTGCTTCACCATCCTGCTGTGGTCCTGCTCTCATCAGGGCCCATCGGGGCTGGCAGCGTCTCCACTGCTGCCCGCTGCCAGTGCCACATTGAAGACGTCCACCATGTTCCATGCTGCCCCCTGGTGATCAGCACACATCATAGCGAGTGGTCAAACTCCCAGGGGACAATTTGCATATTAGGCTTTTATTATACAGGATTATTTGTATTATGATCAAATTTTGACAGGAGGTGGCCAGAGGGAACTTTATTTTGACTTGCAACTTTTATAAATTTTGCAAGGAAAATATATTTCTCCAGTTAGGAAAAAATGGGGAAATTTAAAGTAAACTTAAAACCTCCATCACAACACCTCATTTATCCTCTGCCAGGCAGCTTAGGGTTTTTTTTTGCTTTTACACACACACACACACACACACACACACACACACACAACACACTCAACTTTTGATCTAATTAGCATATTTCCCTTTCCATTAAACCAGCTGCCTACTGAAGAAATATGTTCATCTCTTCTTATTCAGCAGCTGCCTCACTCGCTGTCATCTAAACCCCTTATCTTATCATATTCAAAACAATTGTGATTAATTTATTTAAGCTTTTTATCTTATCTCAGGAAGGACTCTGGTTACCACATCTCTTTTTCTCTGTGGTGAGCATGCGGAGTGTGGTGGCCTATGAAGCCTGGGCGTAGAGCAACCTCTTAACCCTTTGCTGTTCCAAAGCTCCCATTTGACAGCCATCGGTCCACAGTTCCTAGCTGGCTGGCAGGACCCACCCGGCTTGGCCTCACTTGACCTGCATTCTCTTCCAGCCCTGCGTACACGCCTCAGTTCTTCGGTGGATGATGAAATCCTTGTGAGGGGCGCTTAAGCCTGCAAACTCTTTACTTCCTTTTCACCCAACAGTGCCTTGGTCGCATAGGAAAGGTTCTGTTGGATGAATGAACCTGGAGTTTTGAGCTTGTATATAATAAAAAGTGTTCAGTTATTACTTTTTATCTACAATAAATAGAAGTTGTGGCCAAGAAGCAACTTCCCATTTTTGTAACAATTTCCAATTGTCTACTCTTTTCAAGGTTATCTCTAACTTCTGATTACATTTTTTAAATGTGAGTGTTTTAACTTCTCTAGGGCATGTGCTTAAACCTGCCCTGAGTTCTACTCTGAACGCCCTTCATGCCCCCATTAATTTTGATAATGACATCTTTAACTTCTGCCCCTGCATAATGTGCTGACTTTATAGTTTATTTTCAGTGACAATCAAGTCATTGGATGGGAATATTTTATTGGAGAAATTTCAACATCTTTTCATCCAGAGGGTGTTTTGTTTGTTTTATTTTTTGGTATTGCTTAGTAAAGACTGATGGCTTTGGGATTAGATTTGGGTTTGAATCCTGAATCTGCTATTTAGCAATTAAATAACAGGGGACTGCTTATTTCACTTTTCTAAACCCTATTTTTTAATTTGTAATATTTTAAAAACCTGCTTATATATAATCATTGTAAGGATTAAATGAAGAAATGATGATAAGGATTTAGCTCAATGGCCAGCCCACAATTAGTGCTTAATGAATAGTATCTATGACTATTAGCAAGGTAGATATTGTATACTTTATTCATTCACTTATTCATCCATTTATCCAGTTATTATAATGTACAGATCATAGAAAAACTATTTCCCTAGGCACTAGGGGAAAACCAAAATGATTGAGACATCCTTCCTGCTTTTACTAAATGAACATAGGTGTGTATGTGTGTGTTTCACTATCTCTGTATACTTAACTATGCAAACCATGGTGATATAATTTAAGTTAATGGCAGTATCCATGCTTTTTAATGTTAATCACTCAACCAACCAGTCTTTATTAAATATTCTCAATACCTGGTATTCTGAGGAGCTCAGATGTACTGTACACAAAGGAGTGCTTACAAGAGGTCGGCTATGGGCCTGTACTAGTAAATACATATGTACCAAAGGACTGTATATAATTATAGTATCAAAGTTCAAAACTGTGGGCTACAGTTTAGCCTATTCTCAGCCAGGACACACCCAAGGGGCTATAATTTACAGGGACACCCTCTCCGGGTAAGCATGGCTGTGCCAACATCTACTCCATTTCTATTAACCTCAATCAACAGGATTGAATGAGTAAGTGTATGTTAAGATAGTGTGTGCTAAGTATACGAACTCAATCTTTTTGTTTTTAAGTCAACACTTAACAAACTTCAGCACTTTCACTGCCATCAGGTACAAATGATTTGGCTGAAATGGAGAAACAGAGTCAGAAAAGGGTCATAATTAAAATGCCTGCAGGGAGTGAGATGAGTGGACTCTGAGAACCCACAGGTAGCCAGGGAGGAAACCCTTGGTGCGCTGGATCGCAAACACCTCCTAAACCGACTATAATATAATTTACAAATTATATTCATGCACTCGAAATCTATGAGTTTAATGTTAATAATGCCTTCTTTCTTTTAAGAAAACAGTATTCTAAGCAGATGTTCTCACACTTGTCGTTTTCACCCTGCGGACCACCTGTGCAGCACTGTGGAGATTGCTGCTGGACTCCAGGTGCCATAGAAGATTGAAGGTCATGGTACCTAAAGAAGAGAAAAGTAAGTCTTCCTTATTCTCTCATCTCTGACACTCAAGTTCCCAGTTCTCCTTCCCAAAGCAGCCACTGTGAATAGTTTCAAAAATCTTTCGTGTATTTTTCATTGTTTATTAATTTATTCAAAAGAAATTAATAGCTAATCTGCATGGGGCCTTATTTTGGATGCTTAGGAATAAATGCAATAAACACAACAGATAAATATAGCTTCCCTCATGGGGACTTTACATTTTGTTGGGGGAGACAACTAAATATTAATGTTAAATATATTTAAATGTCAAGTGGTGATAACCCCTATGAAGAAAAATAAATCAGGGTGAGGTGCTAGACAATGGTAGGTAGGTAGTGTGGGGAGAGGGAGGGTACAGGGAGGAGGGGTGGGGAAGGTCACTCTAAGGAAATGACAATTGAGCAGGGATCTGAGTGAGGGGTCAGGCTCACAGATAATCTGGGGAAAGCGTTCTGGCAGAGGGGCCATGAGTTGCAAAGACCCTGAGGTGAGAATGGACTAAAACAAGATGGATATGAGATCAGAACCGGATCACACAAGGCTATGGAGCCCTGGTGAGGAGTCTGGTTTTATTCAACCTGTTGAAACAAACAAAAAAACTTTAAGTGTTTTCAATGGGGAATTAAGTCATTAAATTTTTGTTTAATGGATTCCTTGGGCTGCTGTGTGGGTACTAGACTGAATGGCAGGGAGGCCAGGGAAGCAATGAGAAGGCCAATGGCCTAGTGTATCAAGAGGTAATAGCTTTCCTAGGGATGAGGGTGACAGAGGGGTGAGATATGGTTGGAATTGGAAATTGTTCTGCAGGTAGATTCAACAGAAGTTGCTGATTAACTATTCTATAAATATGCAAGCATATACTTTCCACTTCCTCCATTTTTAAAATACAAATAATAGCTTACAAACTATTCTGCATTTTGCTTTTTATCACTTGGTATTAGACAGCGATTACTGCATATTAATCTGATTACTTTTCTTTTTTGTTGTTGTTTTTTAATTTCTATTTTAAGTGAACATACACATACTTTTGAAGACAAATAGTTCTCCAAGACATACTGTGAAACACAGCAGGCCCTTGTCCCCTCGCACATTTCCTCCTTTCTAGGCGCACCAGTTTTACCTCTTTTATCTGATTTTTTGGTTATCTTCATTTTTCTAGATAACATTCTTACTCCTTGACTTTCTGGTTTTAGATATGATCTCTGTTTTTCCATTCAGACAAAAGAGTGAAAGAGTAGGACTCGGCTCTTTTTTATCCTTCCTGCCATTTGTACTAACGTTTTGTACCCAACTTTCTCCTTATATGGCCAAATGAAAATTTTGCTTAATTCAATATTCAGTGTTAACTGGCTGACATATGACTAAGTAAAAACTAATTACCACTAAATTTGTTGCAAACTATGCTTATTTTAAATTGCTAAACGCTGTTCTGTTATCCTCAGAGTTAATTGCCAATTTTTTCCTTTGACTGGTTATCTTAATATTTTTCAAGAATTCAACACCAAAAGCTGACAGTTGTTAAAATCATCTTTCAATAAGTTCAGCCACATCAGGTACATTTGATCAATTTCATCTTTCTAAGGAATTTTTTCCTGAACCCTTCTGGTAAGTTCTGTGATAGATTGACAACAAAATGGCCAACAACAATTTCCTTTCCTGTGCCCATGCGCCCTCGCTCTGTAACAGTATATTTTTCACTTTGATTCTGAACTTGGCATTGTGATTTGCTTTGGACAATGAAATGTTAGCAAACATGACACAGTAGAAGTTTGAAAAGTCCTTGTACTTTGGGCTCTTGGAGTCCTGCTGCCATGTGAAGACCAAGGTTCATCTGTTGAGTGAACAGAGAAATATATAGCCCAGTCACCCCGAGGGACCCAGTGACCACCACACCACCTTATGTGAGGCTATTTGGAACTAATCATACCCAGCTCAACTGCCAACTGATCACAGAAGCACAAGTGAGGCTCACTAGGAAAATCTAGAACTACCCAGCCAAATTGAGAGATTAATCCATGGGCATTTTAAGTCACTGCATTTTGGGTTAATTTGTCATGCAGCACTAAATAACTGATACAAGCTGCAAGTGGACTGGTTTGCTCCGATGTATAACTACTATCCTGTGTTACTGTGGTAATTAGACAGCTTATTAATATTAATAATAGGAAGAAAGCAAAGGGGAAGGCCAGACATATAAGCTTAGTCATCTGGGCAGCTTTACCAGGAAGCTATAGCTGCACACTCCCCAGGGAACCACCGTCCATTCCCTGCAGGCCACTAGGGGAAGGGATCAAACAAAGGGGGAGTTAGGCACATGTGTAGTGAAGTCAGGGTGTTGTAGGGAAGGTACTTTCCTGTCAGTCTAGCCTGAGAAACAATGGATTGGTTAGGAGGTGACCCCCTTAAGAAGTGTGTGAGCCCAGCCAGTGTGGTTCAGCAGTTGAGCATCGACCTAGGAACCAAGAGGTCACCAGTTCAATTCCTGGTCAGGGCTCAATCCTCAGTAGTGGGATGTGCAGGAGGCAGCCAATCAATTATGTTCCCTCTCATCAATGTTTCTATCTCTCCATCCCCCTCCCCCTTTTCTCTCTAAAGAAATCAATAAAAATCTATGAAAAGAAGTGTGTGAAATCTTGGAAGGTTAAAATCCCCAGACAAAGAGTTCCCTCCCCCTCCCCTTGTTCCCTCTCACTCTCTTGCTCTGTGACCACTCTCTCCCATGTGCTTGCCTGTTCTCTCTCTATAGCCATGTGGCCTTAAGCAGCCATATGGACCACGGCCGTGCAGACCCCACATTGCAATGCACTGCAGCTGGGAATACAAGTTAAGCTGGCCAGATGCTGGACTAGACTGGACTTTAATATGGAATAGATCAAAGGACTAGACTGGACTTTAATATGGAACAAATCAAAACAACAATGAGGTACCATCTCACACCTGTCAGAATGGCTATCATCAACAAATCAACAAACAACAAGTGCTGGCGAGGATGCAGAGAAAAAGGAACCCTCGTGCACTGCTGGTGGGAATGCAGACTGGTGCAGCCACTGTGGAGAACAGTATGGAGATTCCTCAAAAAATTAATAATGGAACTCCCATTCGACCCAGTAATCCCACTTCTGGGAATATATCCCAAGAAACCAGAAATACCAATCAGAAAGGGCATATGCACCTCTATGTTCATAGCAGCACAATTTATAATACCTAAGATTTGGAAACAACCCAAGTGCCCATCAGTAGATGAGTGGATTAAAAAGCTGTGGTACAGCCCTGACTGGTTTGGCTCAGTGGATAGAGTGTCGGCCTTCGGACTAAAGGGTCCCAGGTTTGAGTCTGGTCAAGGGCATGTACCTTGGTTGCGGGCACATCCCCAGTAGGGGGGGCGGGGGCGTGCAGGAGGCAGCTGATCAATGTTTCTCTTTCAGCGATGTTTCTAACTCTCTATCCCTCTCCCTTCCTCTCTGTAAAAAAATCAATAAAATACATTTTTTTTAAAAAAGCTGTGGTACATCTACATAATGGAATACTACGCTGCTATAAAAAGAAAGGAACTTTTACCATTTGCAACAGCATGGATGGACCTGGGAGCATTATGCTAAGCGAAATAAGCCAGTCAGAGAAAGATAAATATCACATGATCTCACTCATATGTGGGATATAATGAACAACATATACTGATGAACAAAAATAGATCCAGAGACAGAGAAGCATTGATCAGACTGTCCAACCTCAGAGAGAAGGCAAGGGAGGTGGGGAGAGGGGTAAGAGACAACCAAAGGACTTGTATACATGCATATAACCAATGGACAGGGATACTGGGGTGGTGGGGGCTTGTCCTGGGGAACAGGAGTGGCCCAGGGGGAGGGTCAATCAGGGAAAAAGGAGACATATGTAATACTTTAAACAATAAAAAAAAATATGGAACAGAAATTCTGGGCAGTGGCCTTCATTCTGGCCCTGTTAAAGACAAGATTGGACATCTGCCATGGTGAGATGGACAGAACTTGGAGGGAACCCCCTTAATTTTACATCATTAATAAAGCTTTCCACGAAACCCCATCCTCCCATGGGGACCTCAGGAAATTCTTTTCTTCCTGGTACCCCAAGAACTCCACTTTCACTGATAACACTGGGACTCTCTTCACTGTCATCCTGAAGTTGTCTTTTGCTTTTTTCCTAAATTGGATCTCCTGTTTCCAGTAACCTATGTCTTTCCCTTGCTCGCTTTCCTCCAGTAAATTCCTAAGAAAAACTATATGAGAAGTAAATTAAGTTCTTTCATGTCTGAAACATATTCTTTTCTTTTTTTAAACATCCTGTGTACATATTACAATATTTTAATTTGAGTTTCTCATTTTAATTACAAATACCTTAAGCAAATTCATCTATTTTAAAAGTTTAAAAGAGACGGAAAGAAAAAGAAAAAAAAAAGAAAGTCACATTCCAAATTCTGGCTAATTGAACATTTCTGCTTCTCAGGAGGGAGCGACTCTGAACTGTCATCACAGTACTGCCGGAGAAGCCAAATGCCAGCTTGGACTAAAACCAACATTTCACACACTCAGATCACCAGGCCCACATAGCCTTTACAACCAAAAGAAAGGGATTCCTTAGGCATATTTATTTTATTTCAATTACAGTTGACATTCAATATTATTTTATATTAGTTTCAGGTGTTCCGCATAGTGGTTAGATAATTATATAATTTACAAAGTGATTCCCCCAATAAATCAAGTACCCACCTGGCGCCACACATCTATATAATAAAAACCCAGTGGTCGTAACACGATAATGACCAAAGACCGGTCACCAGGAGGCTGCGTGCGCAGCAGCGCAGCGAGGTACACTGGTGGGCAGGGACTTGACTCTGGGTCCCGTGGCACTCCAGGACTTGGGGGTCCCAGGTCTCACGCAATTTCCCGCGGGTCTGGGTCTCACGCGATTTTGTACGCTGGGTCACTAGTAGGAAATATAATAAT